AGAAGCAGAACTATCAATAGATATTAATAAATATGATTTTAAAGTCAAGAGTATCAAATATCTGAGTTTCATCATAGAAGCTGGCAAGAGAATTTGAATGAATTCTAAGAAAGTCTTTATTATTCTTGAATAAAAAGCTCTGTGTACTGTGAAAGATGTATAAAGCTTGATCAGATTTGCTAACTTCTATCAGTAATTTATATAAAACTTCTCACATATTGTAAGATTACTTACAGAACTTATTAAGAAGAACTCAGTATTTCAGTGATCAGCAGATACTGAAGCTGTATTCATATAGATGAAGAAGATATTCATCAACATCTCTCTACTAATAATATTTAATTCTGATTATAAAACAGTCATTGAAGCTGATTTCTCTGACTATATTATAAAATAAGCTATATTATAATGTGATAATGAAGATATCTTATAATTATATACCTTCATATCTAAGAAACTGAGTCCTGTTAAATGCAATTATGAGATTTATAACAAGAAACTTCTCACAATTGTACACTGTCTAGAAGAATGAGACTTCAAACTCTGAAGTATCTCTGAATTTGAGATAATCATAGATTATAAAAATCTCAAGTACTTTATAACTATCTGTAAAGTTACTGAATAACAGATACAATGATCTGAGTTCTTAAGTTACTTTCATTTTATAATACACTATCATTCTGACAGTCAGAACTTGATAATAGATACTCTCTCATGATAAGAGTAACATATGTTATATGATATGATAGATACTCACTGAATGAATCAAGAGCATCAGCTCTTAAATCTGAAGATATTAGTTAATCAAGATGAAACAGTTCATGACACTATACATACTTCTCTGATTAGAGCTGTTACTGATATCTCAACTTCTTTTGAATCTACACTAGATGAACTTGAATATACAGCACCTGAAACTGATGAACTTCTTCAAACACTCACTAAAGCAGTATAATAAGAGGTACTCTGATTTCTATCAGAACTATGTATAAGAACTGACATCTCAGAATGTTTAATTAATGATAATAATACTCTATGATTTCACAGATAATGCTGAGTCTCTCACTCTGAACTCTTATACACTCAGATAATACAAGAGATGCATGATTTATATATAACTGATTATTCAGAATATGAATAACTGTATGAAATAATATCTTGAGAATTCTACTGATCTGAGATCTTAAACAGTATCAGATATTTTGACTGAAACTGTAACTATTATTCTTCTATTATCTTATGAAAGAACTGTAGAAAAGATCTGCTGCAATCACTCAATATCTCTGTTAGAATCTGATGAGATGTGATAATTAACTTCACTATTAATCTCTCTATAAGTAAGAGTTGTGGAAATATTCTGATTATCATGAATCAATTAAGTAAAGATATAATATTGAAATCTTGTTATAAGATAAATACTGAATAAGTCACTGAAGCTTTTCTACAGAACCTGTTCTATTAGATGTATGAATTTCTGAGATCTATAGTATTGAATTGAGATTATCAATTTATAAGCACTCTCTGAACAAGAATCTGTCAAGTTCTCAAGATTATGTATTATCTGTTAACTGTCTATTACTCTGAGATTAATAATACATCAGAATAGATAATTCAGACTGTGAAGAATGATCTTTATAAATTCTACAACTACTTATAAGATAATTAACATGATCTTCTTTCACATGCAGAGATTGCTATCAATGATTGAAATGCTGTTTCAACAGATATAAGCCTGTTCATTCTTATATATAATTATTATATAAAGATATTAGATCTTCTAGAGATTATACAGTTCACACTAGACTGGCCGCTGGGATCATGAATTTCACATTTGGTCCCATTTGGTCTGGTCTCATACATTTCTTGGCGTGAATCCTGCTGGGACTGGCTATCAAAAAAACATGTAAAGTGACTATATATCAGATCTTAAAATGGAACCATGACTTGAAAAAAATGAGAAAGTGGTTTCATTTGGTCCCATTTAGTCCCATTCTTGGCATAAAGTTACTATTTTTAGACATTTTAAGGTTTTTTTTAGACTATTTTTAATTTTTTAAAAAGTAATGCTTTTTGGTAACACTCAAATGAGATTTAAAGTCATTTAAAGTCATAAAAATAATTTAAATTGAGAAGTGGAAATCATGGTCTCATTTGGAAAATGTGATAAGAGTAGACACTAAGTCTCACTGAGACAGTATGAGACTACTATCTAATGTTAAAACCGTGTAATGGGATCAGTCGAATTGGTAATGAGACTATCAAAAAATCTGGTCCTGGTCCCAGACACGGTCACACGGTCAGTCTAGTTCACACTGAACTCTCTCAGTTCAATTCAGATCACTGATAATATAGTAACAAAGCTTCAAGATGTCTGTGACTGAGCAGAAGTCTTCAATACAAGTACTAAATAAGATCAAGATAATTAAGTCAATATCTGACAAGATTCTGCAGAGTAGTATAAGATAGAAGATCTTATATAATTGAATCTTAAGAATATACAGATCATACACTCATTCTGTACATTGAATTATTACTATATGAAATATACAGTGATAGACATTCTAGAAAGTCATAACTACTGTCTTAATACTTCATCAGAAATTCATGATGTGTTTTATACAAGCTTGCTTTACTGTGCTGTCACTGACCTGTTCTCTTCTCAACTGACTTTCAACTGACAGTCACCAGAGATTGTAGAAGAAGATAATGAACTTGAATAAGAGATTGAGAATATTCTTGATAAGACACTCTGCAGCCACAGCTAACAATATCTTGTAAAATGAGTTGAGTATGATTGCCTGACCTGGACTCCGAGTTCTGTATTATCTGAGACCACGGCTCTTGATCAATGAGAGCTACGCACAACTAGAGAAGAGAGAGGCTAATGTGACAGGCTGCGCCTGATCAATCATATAGACTATTTCATTACACTTCACAGATTTCTACTGCTCTGATTGTCAGTTGCTGATTCTCAGCTGAAAACCTATAGAATTTCTATTCTTCCGCCCCGGAGCTTCACCACGTACATCATCATGTACATGTATAAATATTTACTCTGATTACTGATTTCTGTACTTTCTCTTTCCTTTTCTTCTTTAATGTTTTTCACTTTATTATATAAGACCTATCAATATTATACTGATCTATTCAGCGTAGGCCTCTTACAATTAAGAAGAAAACTAAGTAAAATTAAATAAGATTACTTTCTTATTATTTCTAAGTTATAGTCTTATTATAAGATCTGATAAATAGTTACTTTATATAAGAAGTCTACACTAAATATATCAGTATAATATTTATAGATCTTATATAATAAAGTGAAAAACATTAAAGAAGAAAAGAAAAGAGAAAGTATATGAATCAGTAATCAGAGTGAATATTTATATATATATACAGTAATATACATAGTGAAGCTTTAAGATAGAAGAAGAGAAATTCTATAGATTTTCATCTAAGAATTAATCCCTGAGAATCAGAACTTTAACAGAGAATTAGTAACTAAGAATCAGAGTCTTAGTAGAAATCTATAAAGTGTAATGAAATAGTTTATATAATTAATCAGATATAGTCTATTATATTAACTCTTCTCTCTTCTATAATTATATATAGTTCTGATCAGTTAGAAGCTATAGTCTCAGATAATGCAGAACTCAGAGTTTAAATCAGATAATTATAACTGACTTATTTTATAAAATATTATTAACTGCAGCTATAAGATCTCTTGTTGAGAATATCTTTAATCTTTTATTCAAGTTCATTATCTTCTTCTATGATTTCTGACAGCTGTCAGTCAGAAGTCAGTTGAGAAGAGAATAGACTAATTATTATTATTATTATTCTTCAATTATAAATGTATACAGTCAGAGACTATGACATCTATCTGAGAACTAAAAGTTCTCAGGGTTTTTCCTATATCTATAAAGTTAACTATTATACATTCAACAATTTCAGATATATAAAATCAGAAAATTCCAGCTCAGAATATAAAAACTGTTTACAAATTACAGTATTTTAACATCTTCTGATACTTTGAAATCATTTGATAATTGTAATGTGACGGAACTGAAGCAGTGACTAGTTAGCGGTGTCATGTAGAAGTAGTTGTTTGAGAAGCTGTATAAGTGAGCTTGACTATCTTGCTTGAATAGTGAGCTCATAGGCTACAAGATTATTATGAGAATATCACAGATATGATACTTAGTATACTAAGAAGATTGTATGAAGCACACAGTAACTCTTGTATATATTTCAGTAGAAGAAAAAGACAAATCACTGACTTCTTTGATAAGGAGTCAGCATCTAGCTATTCTATATAGATAATAAGTGAATACTCTTCTCTCATTTCATGAGTAAGAATAGTCAGAGTGATACCTCAGCAGTGCCTCATTATCAAGAAAGAGTAATCTGCTGATCTTGTATAAAAGTAAGATTCTCATATTCATTAATCAGATCTTTCTATGATACATCTGAATAATGTTATAGAGTAATTGAAAACTAGTTCAGATGAGATGAAATTATCTGCATGAAAGTGATGAGTCATGTAAAACTGTAACAGAGTCTTGATATAACTGAGAGTGTGATAATACTCTTCTCTTTAAGAGTATAGTCTCTATACTCTCAAGATTATCAGATTAGAAATTATCTTTGTTGTATAGTAACAGTTATTAACTGATTGACAGTATATATACTGCATGTAATACAAAGAAATAGATGAGTTCTTCTACTGACTGTGTAGGTCTTTCTTTTCTCATCTTTGTTTAAATCAAACACATGATAAGTGAGTTTCTTATATATCAATGTGAAATGTGAAAAACATAGTTAATAAGTGACTTACAGATCTCTCAATATATTTCATTCTATATATAGAATTCTCTGCAAAAGTGATGTATTTTAGAGACAAAGCTGACAGTAGTAGCAGGATTTTTTCAAAAAGATTTCTCTCTCTATAACACATTTTTCTCTCTCCTCTCTTCATCTGTAATAGTGAGTGCATGAGAGCATCATTCTTGAGAGACAATAAGAGGCTTATTCTGACATTTTCTAGTGAATAACAAATGTCTTTGTGATGCGGCTGCGGCCTCTGTGGCCGCCAAGAAAGCCAGGTTGAAGGCGGAGGCAGCGGTGTCAATGAGTCGCGGGAGCACCGCTTTCATTGCCACACCTCCTCCTCCTGCTTCTCTTACAGCTGTGGTGATAGTCACCATGCCTTGCAGTGAGGTGTCATCCCCTCTGCTGATCAGTTCATCTGTGTTCAGTCTGTCCTCTGCCCCCCTCACCGCTGTTACAACGCCACCCCCCCCCCCCCAGCTAATACAGTGACATGTGACCCTGTGTGGTCATTCAGAGAGAAACCCAGAGAGAGCTTGATTCCAGGAACAGTGACTCTGAGGAGCTCAATTCATAGTTCCTCTCCCGCACACCTGAGCCCTGCTCAGAATGCTGCTGAATTAAGTCTGCAGAATCCTGCAGTTTCTTTGTCTTCTCTCTGTGAGAAGGCTCTGATACAGTCTCTGACTGACATCATTACTTGTCTGTGCTGTGCTAAGCAGCTGAAGAAAGAGAGAATTTTATATATCTGTCTCTTCTCTCACTTCTATTATTTCTGTTATATCTGTAACAATAACTTCTATCTCTCTGTAAGTATTATCTCACAGAAAGACATTGTATTGACTCTGATAAGAAGTCTAAATACTTAAGCAGTACAGAGTGAGAGTCTCAGAGCTTTAAGTATTGATAGATTCTATCAAGACTGAGAAGATCTCTCTTACTCATCTATAAAAAGAGATGAAAGTATGAATCTTTAAGATGAAAAAATATCTCAGAATGACTGATCTTAAGAAGAGATCAGCTGATTCTGTCTTTGAAAATACTGCAGAGATTAATAACTGATTGAAGAGAATCTTACTTCAGTTGAAGCAGATAACTGAGATACTTTATAAGTTAATAAGTTAATACTTTCAGTATCTCTTATACTCTTCTACAGTATGCTCTTCTGCAGTGCTGCAGTACTAACTTCTCAGTAAACAAAGATACTGATACTGAAGACTTTAATAGTGAAGAATGAGTTTAATGAGAATATAATTATTAATGAGTAGACTCTGATCTCTCTTTTTACTTTTTCAGCAGACTGCAGTCTCATTAGAATAGCAGCAGTCTGTGAGTTAATAATATTAATCTTTTTATTGATTTTAAATATCTCTTTTCTTTTAATCACTTCAGAAATGTTACACTTGTGTAGTCTCATTAAACTACTAAAAAACCCTTTGAGAGAAAATAGAAGAAGAGTGTTACAGAGTCTATAAGACACTGACTTATCACTGTGAGATTATCTCTAAAAAACTCTTTGAGAAAAATGAGAAGTCTTTAAGTAGTATTTCTTACTTAATATCTCTGATATGTAATAGAGTAGTCTCTACTAGCTGTCTCATAGCTTATAATCTCTTTCTCAGCATTTTTCAAATACTCAAGCAGTTCTCATGAATTCTCTGATAATAAATATTCTTTTTATTTAATAAGATATTGAAGCTTGCTATAATATATTCACTTATTCAATATTTTCTTCATAAGATATTCAGTATCACTCTTGATCTTGATATCATTCAGTCAAGACAGCTCTGTCTCAGAGTATTACTTATAGAGCTTTAAATAGAAAATGTGAAAAATAGAATAAATTGATTTCAATTCTGTGAATAATTTCAACTCATATATCTGCTTATTCATCACTCTTATTACTGAGAAAGATTCTAGTTATCACTCACTGAGCTTCTTATATAATCTCATTATCTTGAGATTCTTTACTGAAAGTAGCACTTGATTCTCTATTAAGAACTTCATTGAAAGATGTTTTCAATTATAGTATTTCATCTACTGCTTCTAAGTGTAGTGAATACTTTTCATCATCTTCTCATGAATTTTATTCAAAAGTTTTAATCTTGCTTTTACTTCTGATACTGAGAGATACTCTGTTCTCTGTATCTATTTAACATTCTGACTGTCTATTTCTCTCTTTAAAATGTCATTCATGACATCACTGAGTAATGAAGAATTATATTCATAATAAGTATAGAAAGAAGATATCTTTAAGATTACATTCTTTGTATTGTTATATATGAATTCAGTGATCAGAAGATATTTAAGTCAATCATTCTGATAATATAAATAGAATGCTTGAAGATGCTGTTCTAGTGTCTGATTCTAGTGTTCAGTCTGATCATCAGTCTGTGAATGAAATGCAGTACTGAGAAGATATCTTATTATAAGATAATAGTAAAAAGCTGATCAGTACTTGCTGATAAAGAGGGATTCTCAATCTATTATCAATAATTTCAGAGCACTGTGATCATGAATGATGATATCTAAAAACAGATCAGTCAATTCAGAGGCTTTAATCTTTTTATAAGTAGAGATATATCTGATCATCTTTGTAAAGCAGTTAATAATAATCAAAATTAAGTTATATTCTTTAACTCTTGTTGACTTCAGCAGATCAACTATGAAATTCATTAATAGATTCTATCATAAGCTCTTTGAAACAGGCAGTGATATTAACTCACTGTATTACTTATACTGCAGGACTTTTATTCTTTGATAGATATTGTAAGTCTTAATATACTCTTTAATATCTGTCTGAAGCTTGTTTCAAATGTATTTATATTTTAGAAGCTTCTCAGTCTTCTCTAACCTGAAGTGTTCTGTATGAGAATTATTATAATAAATTCTCAATAACTTCTGATACACTGTTCTGCTATGAGAGATGAAGACTAAATCATTCAGCAGTAGAAGTTCACATTCTTCTAGTTATCAGTGACTTGATTTCTTAGCAGTATCACCCTGCTCAGAGTCTGTCTCTTTCAAGTTCAAACTAAATTCTTTCTTCTTCAACTTCTGAATTTAAGCTGCAGTAGAGATATTTCTCTTCTATAACTTATTAATGAATTTCAAAAGTAGTCAGATTGAAAGATTGTAGATCATTTCATTCTTTATCAATTCAATGATTGTAAGACATGATATGAGAAGCTCATGATCTTCAGTGTCAGTCTTTCATAGAGATCTGAGTTCTCTTTCATCTTCTATACTGAGTCATGCAGCTGTCTCTTCAGCACTGTTTCTGAGCTTTAGAGAATCTTAACTCTCTGCAGTCAGCTTCTTCTGCAGTGATAACAGAGGTTCTTTTATAGAATTCTTCTTCATATCAATGATATTATAATCAGGCTGTTTAGATAATGTATCAGTGAGATTAAGCTGATCTGAATAGTATCAGATATAGAAATCATACTCTGAAAGCAGCTTCACTCATCTGACTTGATGTTCTGTCAAGTTCTTTGTTATCAAGAAGTAACACAGATTTACATGATCAGTAAGAACTTACACTGAGTACTTACTACTCTGAAGATAATGTTATCAGATCTTAAAGAATTCAACAATTACTAACATCTTCTGATCATGAGTATCATATCTTCTCTATATGAGTGATAACTTCTTGAAGAAGAAGATCACTGATCTTTATTTACAGTGTCTTATAGACTCTGTGAAAAAGTCTTCTCTTACAGACAATTCATTATCTGTTTTCTCAGAAGTGATTATTCTCTGATTCTTTCAATATTGAAAGGTCTTCAGTGTCAACTGTGAAAAGATTTTACAGATCTCATTTCTGAATATATCAGTCTCACACTGACTGAGTAAGTCAGAATTAAAGTGATTCAGTATTGTGACATCTGTGAAAGCTTGTTTCAATTCTGCAAATATCTGCATGATATCTTGAATGAGAATAAACAGTTCTGTTTTCCTGTCTTTCACACTTCTCTTTAACAGATCTGTAAGAGAGGCAGTAATTTATGAATATGCATAGATGAATTATCTGTAGAAATTTGCAAATTTTAGAAACATCTGCATCTCACAGTACATCTACAGTGTCAGCCAGTTCTCAATGATGAAGACCTGGCTTCTGTTCATTGAAATGTCATTCATCTCAATAATATAACCTAAGAAATCAATCTTCTGCATGTAGAATGAGCATTTTTCAGTGTTTATATAGAGTTAATGCTGTCTCAAGTGACTCAACACTTCTTGAACATGAGTATCATGTTCTTTCTTCATTTTTGAGAAGATTAGAATGTTATTCAAGTATACTATGCAGAAGATATCAACAAGATATCACAGTATCTCATTTATATAGGTCTGAAAGATGACTGAAGTGTTACAAAGATTAAAAGATAAAACAAGATATTTAAAATTGCTGTACTTAATATGAAAAGTCATTTTTCAAACATTATCTTTGTTAACTCTGATTCTATGATAGACATTCTGTATATTAATCTTTGAGAACATCTTTACTTCAGATAATCAATCAATCATCTTATCAATCAATAGTAATAAATAGTGATTCTTAACTGTTATCTTATTGAGGCCTCTGTAGTCTACATATAGACATAGCCTATCATTCTTCTTGAACATAAAGAGTATAGACATCTCTGCTGAACTCTTTGATAAATATATTCAGTTCTTTGATTGTGCTTCTTCAAGATATTTATGCAGAACATTCAATTCCTTTACAGACAAGTTGTAAAGAAGTCTGTATAGTGCTGTTGCACTGTCTTCAAGATGAATCTTATATCATATCTTGATATCAGAAAACTTTGCTGCTTCTCTTTTCAAAAAGACATTCTTAAAATCTGTAAAGAGATGTCATGTACATTTATCTTCAATGATGAATACTGCTGTTAATCTTGCAGCAAGAATGATAACTTCTTCATCTGTTCTCAAGTCTCAATCATCTGCTATACAGTATATTGACTCAATCTTTTTCTCAAGATTCTTCTGATGAAACTCTTCAGATTTCTCTATTACTGTCTCTTTATTAGTGAGACAGTACTGTCACATCTGAGTGACTCAGTCAATAAGAGAATTGTTTTCTCTCAATCATAGAAGACCTAGAATGATGTTCTTATCTATAATGTTAACTATGTGAAGAAGCAGACTGCTCTTCTTGAAGATTTCTTCTAAGTCTATGATCACATACTTCACTTGAATTATGTCAAAACAGTGATATTTTATTTCATCAGTAAATTTTACATAGTCTGACAAATCTATCTTCTTTCAACTCTTCATTAAAGAAAAGAAATAGAATATGAAGTTAATATCTGCTCTGAAGTTAAGTAGGCATCTCACTGATATCTTCTTATTCAGAATATGCATTGTAATTATAACATGAACTCAGAGATATGAGAATTGTCAATTCTTCTCTTTCTCTTCTTTATCTTTCACAGATATATTTGTCAGAAGAGAAGTTGACTTTAAGAAGATATCTTCTCAGTTTCTTTCCTTCTTCAGCTTCTTACAATAACTGATATAGTGATTATCAGCTCTGCAGTTGAAACAGAGATCTTTATCAAATCTTTTTTAATATTTCTTCACAGTGAGTGAAGAATCAGAATACTTGAAATTCTTCTTTACTTTCTTCACACTGAAGTTATCACAGTGCTGTTTAAATCTCATTATTAATTACTTAGAAGAGATCTTATTAATCTTTTTCTCAGAGAATTAATTATTCAAATAGATTTAGAAAGTCAGGTTGACAAGCTCAGTGCAATTGATTAATGAACTCTGATATTATAATATCATTGTCTGCACCTTGTGAGTCAGCTTCATGAGATAAAGCTGTGTTTTTAATTGATTCAAATCATTAGTTAATTTCTCTCAATATTCTTTAAATCTTACATTGAAATTAAAAGAATTCTCATCATCTTATTAATATAATGAGTTGAACTGCTGCACTGCTATGAAGCTGCAGTTATAGTAATCTTTGATTTGATTCAGTAGAAAGTTCTTAAATTCTTCTCAAGTCATAACAGTATTGATACACTCAAGCTCTCTCTTCTTGATAATCTAAGTAGTTGTAGAGATGTCTTCAAGAAGGTTGACAGTGTATATTACTTATATCTCATGAGTATTATACTGGCTCAGATTAAGGTGGAATTTCTGTTCAAGAGTATGAATAAAGCTGTGGAATTCAGATAAGATGTTTCTCTTGTATCTTGAAGAATCTCTGACCTTAATCTCTCTATCTCCATGATAGATGTAGATGTGTAGAGGCTGCGGTGATGACAGGGCAGTTAGAGAGCTCATGTCAAAATGTGCAGCAGATTCAGAAATCTTGAATTCCTGTCAGAGTAGAGATGTACATACTCTAGGAAATGATGTAGTGTTTTCCTCAGAGAATGAGGTCGGGTTGATCTCAGTGCAGGTGCATGAGGCCATATCAGTCTGTTAGAGCTCAACTGATTCAAATGTGTAATCAGATTGAGTGATTCAAATTGTAATATAACAGAACTGAAGTAATGACTAGTTAACAGTGTCATATAGAAGTAGTTATTTGAGAAGTCATATAAGTGAGCTTGACTATCTTGCTTGAATAGTGAGCTCATAGACTACAAGGTTATTACAAGAATATCACAGATATGATACTTAGTATACTAAGAAGATTGTATGAGACATGCAGTAACTCTCATATATATTTCAGTAGAAGAAAAAGATGAATTGCTGACTTCTTTGATGAGAAGCCAGTATCTAGCTATTCTATATAGACAATGAGCAGATACTCTTCTCTCATTTCATAAGTGAGAATAGTTAGAGTGATACCTCAGCAGTGTCTTATTGTCAAGAAAGAGTAATCTGCTGACCTCATATAAAAGTAAGGTTCTCATATCCATCAATCAGATCTTTCTATAATACATCCGAATGATGTCATAGAGTGATTGAAAACCGGTTTGAACAGGATGGAATCATCCACATGAAAGCGATGAGCCGTGTGAAACCGCAACAGAGCCTTGGCGCGGCCGGGAGCGTGACAACAATATTATGACAAAAGAAAAGAGAACACAGTCTTAAAGATAGACACATTAAATAGATAGATAGAAAAGAATAGAAAGAAAAAAGTAAAGTAAAATAATAAGAGACTGTAATGAAACAAACTATTAAAAGATAGTATATAGCTGTTTTAACAGACTATATCTGATCAATTTCCTCCTGTTCATATTCAGATATTTCTGAATTCAGTCATTTTCTTATAGCTGCTTGAGTTTCTGATAGAAAGTCTATTAAGTATTTAATTCCTGTCTCAGTTGAGAATAAGAATCTCATATTTAATTGATTTAGATCATACTTCTCTTTCAATCTGGCTCTGAGACTATTATATAATGCACAGTGTATTATAATATACTCAGGATTCTTATTTGAATTGCAGAATGAGCATTCTATTGAGTCAAACCTATCATCAAATCTTTGTATATAAGATTTGAAATAGCAATATTCTAGTTTCAGCTGTATTATAGATGAGAATATTTTCTTTTTATATTTAATTGAACAAGATTTTCACTTGAATTTTGTTTCAAATCTTGAATAATGTATACTCTTCTTTTATTTCTGTCAGCTTTCATTTCAGTTATCTAAACAAGATTCTTTTATTTTTCTCTTTATAAAAGATCAGAACACAATTTTTTGAATAGATCTGCTTAATTCTGCACTCTTTTTTACAGCTGAATCAGTCAATTCATTGTCATGAATATTTATATAAGCAGGAACTCAGTGCAGATAAATTATCAGCTTTGATATTCTTCTCTTTTGAATTTTTAAAACAGAGTTTAAGATCAGTTCAAGATTCATTTAATTATTATAAATCTGACTATTTCTAAGTCTTTTTAAAGCAGCTTGACTATCAGAGAATATTCATATCTCTTTCAAACTATTTTCTCTTTTATAAGATTTTATTTCAATATGTTTGAAAGCTTTCACTATTATAAATAGTTCAGCATCAAAGACTTCAGATTTACAGTCTAGATTTCAGAAATCTGAGATAAAATTAATATTATCTTCAGTATAAGCAATGTCTGTGCATAATCTATTCAAATTCTCATTTTTTGAGTTATCTGAATAAATCAGAATAGAGTCTTTTATATTAATTATAGAAATTCTCTTTAAATACTGTTCATATTCTTTCTCTTTAAATAGTTCACTTATTTACAAGTCTATAAGAGATTCAAGCTTTTCTCTTTAGAGAGATAACTTCTCATGATCAACTTTTTCAACATTTAAAGAAGAAAATTAATTTTTATTTAGAGAGTATAGTCTGTATTAGACTGGCCGGCGGGACCATGAATTTCACATTTGGTCTCATTTGGTCTGGTCTCATACATTTCTTGGCGTGAGTCCCACCAGGACCAAGTCTCAAAAAAATCTGAAAATGAACCATTTCTGAGAGAAATGATGTGAAAAATGACCAGATTTAATTCAAGAACAGTGAAATGAGAGTAATTTCACAGAATAAACTGTGAAAGATGATCATTCTTCTAAAATCAGAATGAGACTGAGACTGAAGATCAAAATCAGTTTCATTCAGTTCATTCAGTGATTGCTTATATAATCAGAATTTGACAATGATTATTGATAACACTCATGAAATAACTAAATACATTCTTGTGTAAGTTTATTCTTCACTTTCTCATGAAAACTACACTTCTCTGATATACTGTGATTAGAGATATTAAATCATCTGATAATTTCATATTTTATAATCATGAGTTTCTTGATTGTTTCTTCTTGTAATTGTCTCTGACAATAGTGATAAATATCTCAACTTGAGTTGAACTTTTACTTCATTCTCACCTCTGTCAATGAAATTGTCAGAATATCACACACTATCAGTGCAACAGTTGAATATGTACTCTCAATAATTTTTCATAACTCTAGAATTGATTTAATGTGTAAATTTATTAAATCATCTTGAAGATAGCAGTCAAATTCAGTTTTACAAGTATGTAGTTTTATCTGATTTTCAGTTGCAATCAATGTATGCAAGTTCTGTTTCAAAGTTAGTATTATAGTTCTATGAGATATAAAGTGTTATCAAAGATTGTTACTTACTAGGGAATTGTATTTCACTATCTTCACATCTCAAACATCTGCTTATTCAAATCTCTGATAGTTGGCATTGTAGTAGTCTCAGACTAATTTAACATATGAGTCTCATTTCTTCTCTGTTCAATCTTGAGAAGTGTAGATATTAACTTGACAGAAGGAATCTAGTAGAGCTGCTACAGTATAGTACTCTGTAAAAGATTGTTCAGTTTTGCTGTAGTAATATGCCAGTTTATCTCTTACAGTAATAATAGCCTGTGCTATAGCATTATCTCAGACTGAATTTCTTTTTGAGTGATTCAACTGCTTCTCAAGATGAGTAAATAAACTGTTATACACTCATCAGACTGACTGCAGCATTGATGTATAAGTGATTGAGACTGTCTTTATTATCTTATAAAACTGAAACAGTAAATCAATCACATATTTCAACTCAGTTCACTTCATATCAGAAAGTTTTAATATCTGAATCTTTTCTCAATCAGAGTATTACACTCAATGATCAATCACCTGACACAATTGAAGAGTTTAAACAGTCATCTTATATATTGAACTTCACTGTGTTCTAACATTCTGTATCATATTCAGTGATATAACTGATTTGTTTGTTTATTGAATATCATGAAATCATTGTTATTGTTTAGAGAAGATACAAATCACATTAGCAATGTTTCAAATCTGTGATATTTAAATTATTAGTCAATCTATTCAAAATTAACAGTAGTGTTATCAAAAAGTGTTATTAAAAAGCAATATTAAAAAGTGTTGTTAAAAAATATTATCTTTTATAAAGTAGATGTAAAAGTTACTTGAGTAATCACTTTTATCTCATTCTCATCTCAAGAACCAGTGATCTTATTATTCTTTATCTCAATGTTAAGATTCTTTATCAGTGTTTACATCACAAGTTGAATCACATAAGCAATGCAGAAGATATGACCTTATTTATCATTTCAGAAATACAAAGCCAATTTTTGCTCTAAGCTCTTTATCATAGTGTAGTTATTCACAGCATTATCAGTTGTAATTGTAAGAAGACTGAAACTAATATCTCAATAGTCATTTTTAATCACAGTTATTAATATCTCTGTTATATAATCCTCAGTATGACTACTGATCAATGATTCAAATTCAATTAATATCTCTTGATAAGTTCAGTTCTCATCAATGTAATAACATATAACTCTCATAAATGCAAGATTGTTTGTACTAGTTCATGCATTCACTGTGAGAGACACTCTTCAATGATTCTTCAACTCTGATTCTAGATATTATATATTAACTTTGTAGTGTGTCTCAAGGTTGAACTGAAGACAGAATTGATGTAGAATATGAAGATTTGAATTAAGCATTTGAAGAAGTGTTCAGAATTCAGAGTTTTCAATTGATTGAAGAGAAAGATTCAGAGATATATATATACAAAGTAATTATTCATGAAAGTTATCAGATGAGAGTTATGAAATCAGAGTACTGATATATGATTGTTTTCACATGATTTTCTTCAAATTAGAAAGTTAGTGTTATCAAAAATCATTATCTGATAGAGTAACTTACCAGCTCAGTAGTAATTTTCTGATTATTTTTCTTTTATTGTCTGCATTCTGATGACTTCAGATGTTGAGAAATTTCTTCAGAGTCATGATCAGTTTATGATGAATGTTTCTGAATAAAGTGCAGTGATGCAGCAGAGAGATAACTCTTTCAGTAATCCTGTAATGCAATCCTGTTGGATTATTTATTTCCCAGAATTATCCTCAGTGGTTGG